GTTGAAGAATGCTATTGGTATTTTGATAGGGATTGCATTGAATCTGTAGATTGCTGTAGGCAGGATGGCCATTTTGACAATATTAATTCTTCCTATCCATGAGCACGGGATGTGTTTCCATTTATTGGTATCTTCTTTAATTTCTCTCATGAGTGTCTTGTAGTTTTCACAGTATAGGTCTTTCACTTCCTTGGTTAGGTTTATTCCTAGGTATTTTATTCTTTCTGATGCAATTGTGAATGGAATTGTTTTCCTGATTTCTCTTTCTGCTAGTTTATCATTAGTGTATAGGAATGCAACAAATTTCTGTGTATTAATTTTGTATCCTGCAACTTTGCTGAATTCAGATATTAGATCTAGTAGTTTTGGAGTGGATTCTTTAGGGCTTTCTATGTACAATATCGTGTCATTGGCAAATAGGGACAGTTTAACTTCTTCCTTGCCAATCTGGGTGCCTTTTCTTTCTTTGTTTTGTCTGATTGCCATGGCCAGGACCTCCACAACTATGTTGAATAAAAGTGGGGGGAGTGGGCATCCTTGTCTTGTTCCCAATCTTAGAGGAAAAGCTTTCAGCTTCTCACTGTAAGTATCATGTTGGCTGTTGGTTTGTCATATACGCCTTTATTATGTTGAGGTACTTGCCCTCGATACCCATTTTGTTGAGGGTTTTTTATCATGAATGGATGTTGAATTTTGTTGAATGCTTTTTTAGCATCTGTGGAGATGATCATGTAGTTTTTGTCTTTTTTGTTGATGTGGTGGATGATGTTGATGGATTTTTGAATGTTGTGCCATCCTTGCATACCTGGAATAAATCCTATTTGATCATCATGGATGATCTTTTTGATGTATTTTTAAATTCGGTTTGCTAATATTTTGTTGATTATTTTTGCATCTGGGATATTGGTCTGTAATTTTCTTTTTTTGTGGTGTCTTTGCTGGTTTTGGTATTAGAGTGGTACTGACCTCATAGAATGAGTTTGGGAGTATTCTCTCCTCTTCTACTTTTTGGAAAACTTTAAGGAGGATGGGTATTAGATCTTCACTAAATGTTTGGTAAAATTCAGCAGTGAAACCATCTGGACCAGGAGTCTTGTTCTTAAGTAGTTTTTTGATTATCAGTTCAATTTCGTTGCTGGTAATTGGTCTGTTCAGATTTTCTGTTTCTTCTTGGGTCAGCCTTGGAAGGTTGTATTTTTCTAGAAAGTTGTCCATTTCTTCTAGGTTATCCAGTTTGTTACCATATACTTTTTTTGTAGTATTCTCTCATAATTCTTTGTATTTCTGTGGTGTCCATAGTGACTTTTCCTTTCTTATTTCTGATTCTGTTTATGTGTGTAGACTCTCTTTTTTTTTTTTTATAAGTCTGGCTAGGGGTTTATCTATTTTGTTTATTTTTTTGAAGAACCAGCTCCTGCTTTCATTGATTCTTTCTATTGTTTTATTCCTCTTGATTTTATTTATTTCTGCTCTAATCTTTATTATGTCCCTCCTTCTACTGACTTTGGGCCTCATTTGTTCTTCTCTGTCTAGTTTCATTAATTGTGAGTTTAGACTGTTCATATGGGATTGTTCTTCTTTCCTGAGTTAGGCCTGTATTGCAGTATACTTCACTCTTAGCATGGCCTTTGCTACATCCCACAGATTACATCAGTATTTCTTAAACACCTTTTCCATGGGTTATTAGAAAGTGTCACATGATTAAGGACTCCATAAACAGACTAATTTGGGAAATGCTGGGATTAAACAAAATTGACAAAATTTCTCTTTGAGGGCATGTTTGGGAGCCCTTAGATGGTAAAGTGCATTGGGAGTCTGTAGGAGGATTAAAGTCATTTCTGACATTGATTTTTGCCTTAGAACTTTTCCATTGCGTCTCATGGGGCTGGTGTTCTTGGAGCTCACTTTGAGGTCTGCTGGCTGGCTGCTTCCCAGCTTTCTTAGGCAGGCGGGGAAAGGGGCACTCTGGGTGGGTGTTGGGGTCTCCCCTGCTCACCAGCACTGCTCTCCTCCCCTAGCTGCCAAACATGTTTGGGAACCTGCGCTCCACTTTCATGGCCCTTATGATTGGCTCCTATGCCTCTTCTGCCATCACGTTCCCGGGAATCAAGGTATGGAGCTGCCTGTGGTAGACAGTGGGGTCACGGGTTTTCGGTTTGCTGTGACACAAGAACTGGGTCACCTGGGTGAGTAGTGCCTAGTTTGTCTGGTGACCTCGTTCCTGCCCATTGGAGGTCAGGTCACACCACCTTGGGGAAGAGGGAGGAGCACTGAGGCATCATGGGAAGAGCCTAGGTGCTGCTCCTCACTAGGGACCTGACTTCTCTGCTCACCTTCTTTCCTGGACCATTGACACATCCAGGCCTTCCTTCGCCCTCTCTCCTGGGCCAATGCAAGCTTTCTCAGCCGGTCTCCTTGCCTCTGATATTTTCCTTCCCTAATCTGTCATTCACATGATTTCCAAAATGGTCTTAGGTGGAGGACTGGCTCATACCTTCTCTGCTTTGCCTACAGAATCAAGTCCATCCCCTTCACATGTATTCAAGGCCCTCGACTCTCTGGCCTCAGTCCACCTTTCCAGCCATATCTCCTTCCCCTGTCCCAGAGAGGCTGGTCAGCTTGGGTCCAAGATTAGTCCAGAACAGGCTAGATCCTGGACAGGAGGCATGAATCCAAACCTGGGGCAAGCTTGAGCTCTCATTTCTTCCTCTGAGATCTAAGGAGATCGAAGCACCCTTTCAGCTGGGCCATAAACGTTCCACAAGTTCCGCCTTGGGCAGTTAATTTGTTAGTTTGGAGGGCACTTGTTCAGCACCCGCAAAGGAGTTTGAGAGTGCCTTGGTGGGTGGCCCGCAGTTATCCAGGTGGCAGTAGGCACAGTGGGTGGTAGTTCTCCCTTCTTTTCAACTAAGGCAATGGGATTTGAGGAGCCAGATCTTAGCCCCACTTTTTTTGGGGCGTGCCCTTTGAAGCTCTGTCCTGCCCCAAGGCCCAAGGCTGATGAGAAGCAGAAGTTGTTGCAGGCAGTACTGAAGCTCTGAGCAAGAGTCCGAGGGAAGGAAAGATGTGTCACTGCAGGCAGAGAGTGGCAAGGAGGACAGGAGGAGAGACACCATCTCTACATACCAGGCTTCCCCAGGAGAGGGGCTGACAGTGGCACAGAATCCCACTTAGTTCAGAACCTGCTTGTCCTGGGGTTAGGACAGGCACCTGTATGCACACCACCTGGGAGCACCTGTGAAAGGTGAGATAAGGCTTCTCAGATGGGGTTTGTCCGTCCCTCAGGGAAGTGCTGGGAACGGACAGGGTAAACACAGTCAGGCATGGTAAACTTACAGCAATCATCTTCCATTTTTGTACATAGAATGAAATGACTCCCTTTGTGTGAAAACAAACGTGTATGAAGTCATAGGCAAAATATATGTGCCTTTTAAATATAGTAATTGTGATTTCAAAGACATCTCAAGCTTGTGTCCAGCAACTTCAGCACCTTGTGGGGCTACTTCACACCCCTTTAGGGGGCTGGTGTGAAAAAGGAAGAAGATGGTGGGTCTTCTAGATCTGACTCTTAACTTCTGTCATAGATTTACTCATCTGAAAATTGGGTTCAAAGAATGGGGTAGTCCAGACCTCCTCTAAGGCCCTGAGGCCTGCATTCGGCCTCAGGCTGGGAGCGGGGAGGCCATGCCCATGGGCCCACTCCCTCCGCCCGCCCGCAGCTCCTCTACGATGCGGGTGTGGCCTTCGTGGTGATCATGTTCACCTGGTCAGGCCTGGCCTGCCTCATCTTTCTGAACTGTGCCCTCAACTGGCCCAATGAAGCCTTTCCTGCTCCCGAGGAAGTCGACTATACGTGAGTGGCTGGCAGTGTGGGGGCTGGGGTGTGGGGGAGCCCAGGGCTGTGGTGGTGTGATGGAGTCAGAGAGACCTGGATTTACAAAATCACCTGAGCTTTCAGAGCTCTGCCTTCTCATCTGTATGATGGGCTTGACCCACCATTCCTCCCTTCCCTCCACTCTGCACCCAGGTGTTTAAATAGACCCGGCAGATAACACGTGATCAAAGCATGGTGGCTGTTGCTATTATCCTTTCTGGGTCTAGAGGACAGGATCCCAGTAGGAGGGACCCCAGCCATGGTGCTGTGTGCCAGGTGGGCCCAGAAGGGAATACAAAGGACTCAAATATCCACCCCCCCACCTTTGTGGAGCAACCTGAATGCCAACTTTTCCCAGTCTGTGTCAGTGCAACAGCGGACAGGGTTGATGAGCCACAACCAAGCACACAGGGTGCCAGTCCAGTAGCTGATACGTGTCCAGTGCCCGCTGTATACACGGCACTGTGCTTAGCCCTCATACCATTCTCACAGCTCTACCACGTGAATTCTGTAATTAATTCCGTTATAACAAAGGCTTAGGGAACAGGGTGACTTTCCTAAGGTCATACTACTGAAAGGGTGGTGAATAAAAGGTTGGAACCAGGCTGTCTGACTCCAGAATCTGAGCTCTTATGCTGCCTTTATGGCAATAGCCCAGCTGAAGCGCCGCTCACCCATCCTTCCCTGTGCTAGGGGGCATGTCAGCTGGCACGTCAGTGCTGGGAAAGGGCCAGACTAGGGCAGCCCCCTAGAGTCTGGCTGTTGAGGGTGGGGCTCTGTGTGGCTGGTTCCCATGTGCTTGGCCTGGCGGCCAGCAGGAAGAAGATCAAGCTCAGAGGGCTGGCGCTAGATCACAAGGTGACAGGTGACCGCTTCTACACCCACGTGACCGCCGTGGGCCAGCGGCTGAGCCAGAAGGCCCCCAGCCTGGAGGAGGGGAACGAGGTCTTCATGCCACCCAAGGATGTTCCTGGCACCTCAGAAGCCCCTGCTGACAGTGAGTGTTCGGTCTCCGTGCCAGCCTTGGGGGGCAGGAGGGTGGCGCCTCACGCTTAGTGAGGATCACTCCGAAGGGCTCATTCTCTCCCCTCCATTCTCTCAAGCCCCAGGATGGAGGTGGGAATGCTCCCCACTTACAGCGTGGGGGAAATCAGAACTCCGAGAAACCTGGGAAGTTCAGGTTCCGGGTGTTCTGCCGGATTCCTGGGCTGAGGGAGGGAGGAGCTTCCAGAATGGGCAGCGTCTTTGGGGCTGAGGGGCAGCTGGTGGCGTCCAGGCTCCCCGCAACCTCTGAGCGGGTTGCATCAGGCCTGCCCTATGAGCCAGCCTTCAGGCCGGGCCCTTGACGCCCCCTGCTGGCCACAGAGGAGCCACACCTGCCTTCTGCCTGGACCACTTGCCTAGAAGTGTCTGTCCACTTCAAATGAGTGGAAGGAGCGTGGGCCTTGAAGTCAGGAGAGGAGGGTTTGAGTCCCTCTCCCCAAATCCAGGCCATGTGTCTTGGGTAGATCACTTAACTCATCTCTAAACTGGCACCCACAACCCTCTCCTCACAGGGAAGGCAGTTGTGAGGACTGAATGAATCCACGGCTGTGGAAGCTCTTTGTAAAGTGCAGGATGGGGTGCAATAATGAGGGTGTTACCCTGACTCTCCCATGGCTGACCTGCAGCCTACAGCTCCTTGAGTGTGGACAAGTCATTGAGCTCTTTGAGCCTCAGTTTCCTCATCTGTAAAATGTACAGATAGGGTCGTTGTTCAGTTTCACTAACTGGGACGTGTCAAGTGTGCAGCGCATAGTAAGTGCTTAATAAACAGTAGCTAGAGTTACTATTATACTAGGCTGAGGTCATCTGACAGTGTTCTGTTGAGATAGTTTTAGAGCTGGACAAGAACTCAGAGGTGGAGAGTCCGAAGCCTTGTTTTTGAAGAAACCAGTCCCTCTCAAAAGTCACATGGTTAGGGCCCGAGTCCCCACTAGCACTGCATGGGCTGGAGCAATCAGAGGGAAATGGAAGCTCAGGGGCTCAGGGGCAGGCCCTGCTGTCTCCCCAGAGTCCATCCCCTTCCGCAAGAGCCTCTGCTCGCCCATTTTCCTGTGGAGCCTCCTCACCATGGGCATGACCCAGCTGCGGGTCATCTTCTACATGGCCGCCATGAACAAGATGCTGGCGTTCCTCGTGACCGGCGGCCAGGAGCACGGTGAGGTGCTGCTTTGCCCACCGGGGCGCTGGGGCACAGCGGGCCTCCCGGCAGAACGCCTCTCATCCCGGCTTCTCTCCCATCCCCAACAGAAGTGGACAGCCTGATGCAGAGGGCAGCAGAGACAGGTAGGGGACGAAAGCTGAGGCCACCATGGCCTGCTCTGCCCCGTACCTCTGGGCATTTTGGGGATCTGGGAGTCAGGAGTCAGAGGAAGGCCGTGAGTTTTGGCCTCCCTCTCCTGCTGGAAGTGGGTGACGTTGTCCACTGGGCTGCTGCCATCCTTTGTGCTGGCCCCTGACCTCACTTCTCTTCCCATCCTGTCCAGTTGGGTTCTACTCCTCTGTCTTTGGGGCCATGCAGCTGTTGTGCCTGCTCACCTGCCCACTCATCGGTTACATCATGGACTGGCAGATCAAGGACTGCGTGGATGCGCCCACTGAGGGCACTGCCCCTGGAGACGCTAGGTGACCTGCCCAGGGATGGTGTCAGCAAGTAGTCACATGGTGCTTTTCATGTTCTATGTGCTTTCACATCCAGCATCTCATTTCATTCCCCCAAGAGTCCTGGAAAAGCACGGGTACCTCCCCATTTTACAGATGAAGAAACTGAGACTAAGAGGGGCATAGCTTGCTTCATAATAGGTACAGCTAATACCATGTGCTGACTGTGCACTTGGCACCTTGCATTGTCTTATTTAGTCATGCAACAGCCCTCTGAGATAGATACATTATCCTCATTTTGCAGATGAGGAAGCTGAGACACAGAAAAGTTAAGTAACTTACCCAAGATCACACAGCTTTTAGTAGCAGGCTCCAGACCTATGCTATCAAAGGAACACTCTAAAACCTTCTTAAGGCTAGAAGAGAGTTGGTGTATTAGATATCTATTTGCTGTATAACAAATTACCCCTCAAACTTAGCATCTTTAAACAACACACATTATATCATATAGTTTCTGAGAGTCAGGAATCTGGGAATGACTTAACCAGGTAGGTCTGGCTCAGAGTCTGTCTGTGTGAGTCTGTTCTGGTTGCTATAATACAATACCACAGACTGGTAGCTTATGAACAACAGAAACTTATTTCTCACAGTTCTGGAGGCTGGGAGATGAAGATGAGGGCACCAACATGGTTGGGTGAGAGCCCTCTTCTGGGTCACAGATTTCTTGTGTCTGCACATGTGGAAGGGGCTAGGGAGCTCTGCCTGGCCTGTTTTATAAGTGCACTGATCCTATGATGAGGGCTCCACCCTCAGGACCTAATCACCTCCCAAAGGCCCCACCACCACATTGGGTATTTGGATTGCAACAGATGGATTTAGGGGAGACACGAATATTGAGACCATAGTGCTTCTCTCGTAGGGTTGCAGTCAAGCTGTGGACTGGGGATATAGTCATTTGTGTTGACTGGCGGAGGGAGAGTCTACTCCTAAGCTCACGCATGTAGCTGCTGGCAGAGGTTCAGTGCCTCCCCACCCTGGGCCCTACACAGAGCTCACGACATAGCAGCTGGCTTCCCCAGAGTGAGAGGTCAGAGGGAGGGAGGCCATGACGGAAGCTGCAGTGTCTTTCATATCATAATCTCAGCAGTGACATGCCATCACTGCCGTTGTGTTCTGCCGGCCACACAGAGTGACTGTTACAGTGTGGAAGGGAACTGCACGGGTTGTGGCTACACAGGGGCCATCTTGTTGACTGGAGACCGCTGCTGGGTCTCTTGATTGCTTGTGCTCTTTTGGTGTTAATCCAAGTAGTTCCTGTTCACCCAAGAGGATGGGAGGGGGGCAAGCCTGTGGCTCCCCGCCCCCCACAAACAGTGCCCTGGTGCCCAGCCTTCCTCCTCTACCCTCTGCCCCTGATGGCCATGCTGCATCAGCAGGGCCCTCTGTCTGGCATGGATGGGCAGCCTGCCCTTATCCCAGCCTACTGACCTCTCCCAGGCCAGCCTGAGAGCCCTTGATTGTGCCAGAGAGAGGGACTTGCTGGGCAATCCGGAGCTGAGCTGCCATCTCCAGAGTGACATCTCCTTGTCCAGGCTGGTTGGCAGAGACGCTTCTTCAGGGGCTTCCGATGAGGGGCAGTATGAGAGGCCCCATTCTCCACCTTCCTTCCCAGACTTGATTCTCTGATTTCAGTGTGTATGAGAAACCCATGGGGTGTTTGTCAGAATGCAGATTCCTGGGCCCTACCTCAGGGATTCTGATGTCTGGGGTAAGGTGCTGGAACCTGCTTTTTATTTTATTTTTTTATTAAGGTATTATTGATATACACTCTTCTGAAGGTTTCACATGATAAACAATGCGGTTACTACATTCACCCATTATCGTGTCCCCCACCACACCCCACTGCAGTCACTGCCCATCAGTGTAGTAAGATGCCACAGAGTCACTATTTGTCTTCTCTGTGCTACACTGTCTTCCCCATGATCCCCCTGACGCCATGTGTAATAATCATAATACCCCTCAATCCCCTTCTCCCTCCCTCCCCACCCCTCCCCTTTGGTAACTGCTAGTCCCTTCTTGCAGTTTGCGAGTCTGCTGCTGTTTTGTTCCTTCAGTTTTGCTTCATTGTTTCACTCCACAAATGAGGGAAATCATTTGTGGAACCTGCTTTCTAAAGAAAGGCCCCTGGTGATGCCGGTGCAGTGGCGAGGGAGAATCACAGGGCTGGAGCAGTGGTCTCCCTTCTCCAAGGCCCAGCGGGAGGGGAGGGGCCGGGCTGAGAACCAGGGAGCTGCTGGGAGGTAGGGGCAGTGGCCAGCGACCGCCTGTTCTCAGGGACGGGGTTGCCACCAAGTCTACCAGGCCGCGCTACTGCAAGATCCAGAAGCTCACCAATGCCATCAACGCCTTCACCCTGACCAACCTTTTGCTGGTGGGTTTTGGCATCACCTGTCTCATCAACAACTTGCACCTCCAGGTACCTACTCCCATCCTGCTCTGCTTGCCTCCCATGTCTCCAAAGGTGCCTTCCCGGGCCATGGTGCTCGGCCTCGAGGCTGACTGTTTTCTGGCTTCTCCACTAAGTGTTTCTGGTAGATTGGGTCAGTGACGGAGTAGCTGTGTGTAGATGGGCTGAGTGGGGCTCTGTTTTCCCCTCCGCCTTACCCACCCTTCCTGCCCCACTCCCACTTTTGACCTCTTCCCTCTCTTTTTGGTTTCAGTTTGTGACCTTCGTCCTGCACACCATGGTTCGTGGTTTCTACCACTCTGCCTGTGGGGGCCTGTATGCTGCGGTGTGAGTTACCCTGGGCTGAACTGAGCTCCCCCCCATACTGGAGAGCCCCAGAGCAGAGCCAGCAGGGCCCCAGACACCCCTTAGTGCACGCTTTCCCAGACTCCCTGGCGTGCGGACATCTTGGAGTGGGTGGGGCTCCCGGAGGCTGTCTCCTGCCCTGCCCTCGCCCAGCTCCACTGGTGAACCTCACTCACGTCCACAAAGCTGCCTCCCCACCACAGGAGAACTCCACTGCCGGTCGTCCCCTAGGGGAAACTGAAATACTCGGTTTGGTGACACTTTGGGCCTATGTCTGCTCCCTGGAATGGCCCCAAAGCAGCCCCTCTCCCATGTCAACCCTATAGAAATTTCCAGACAGCTGTCTTGTTTGCTTTATAACTTTCCTGCTTCATGTGGAACAGCCCCCAATTCCTGTTTCCTCTCCCTCTTCTGGTTTCCCCTGCCAGGCGTGCTGAGTGACACTAGTGACTCTCCTGTGTGTGCTGTGGTGTTATAGCAGTGACAAAGTCATGGCCATTATCGAGTGCTTAATCTGTGGCAGGCATGGTGTAGGAATTTGACCAGCGCTTCCTTAGTGAAAGCCCAGAGCATCCATCTCAGCAGCGGGCAGCCCTGTTCCTGCAGTGGCTCCAACCAAAACCTTGGCATCCTCTCTGCTGTGTCTCCTCCTTGCCCCTTCTCTTCCACATCCAACCCCTCAGCGATTCCGTCTGCTCCCCATCCACATCCCCATGCCCGTCTCCTGGTCCCCAGTGTTGCCTGCCCCTCTGTCCTGGATTATTGCAGCAGCGTCCAAATGGTCTCCCTGCCTCTGCCCTTGCCTCCCGGAGTCTATTTTTAGTACAGGGGTTGGAGACACCTGTCAGGGACATAAGTCTCTTCACGTCACTCCCTGGCTTCCTGTTTTGTCTCATGCAGAGAAAAGCCAAAGGCTTTATTATGGCTTAAAAGACTCTGTAAGATCTGGCCCCAAGGACCTCTTCTGTCCCCTCCCCTGTGGCTCACTCTGCTTCAGCCACTGTGCCTGCCTGTCTTGTGCCTCAGAAACCCCAAGTGTGATCCCAACTCAGGGCCTTTGCACTTGCTAGAATATTCTTCCTCCAGATATCCACAAGGCTCACGGCTGTCTTACTTTCTCCAGGTCTTTATCCGGCTGTCCTCTTCTCCGTGAGGGGTCCCCTGCTTTCCTGACTATAGTGGCAACCCCCTTGATACCCCTGCCCATCTCCGCTAACTTCTGTCCTTTGCATGATCATTTCTAACATGATGCATTTATCTCAGTTACTGCCTGGCTGCCACCTGCCCCACCAGAATGCCACCTCCAGGAGGGCAGGCGTCTTTGTTTGGTTCATTCTGAATCCCCACACATCTAGAATGGTCCTGGCACATAGTCGGAGCTCAATGAGTATTTGGTAAAAGAATGAATGAACAGCCAGGTGAGGTTAGTGCTGCCCTATCATTAGCGGAGGGCTCAGAGGTCAAGTTACTTGCTATTATCAGACAGATGCTGTCAGAGCCAGCTCAGTGGTCCTGAAGTCATGGCATATAACCTCCAGGCCAGGGACCAAAGAGCACATGCAAAGAGACCCTTAAGCCTTACCCTGCCTGGCTAATGGGGAGCCGAGTCCCAGGGGCTGGGGGGAGGGGCTGGGCTGCAGAGGGCCGCATGCCCCTCATGCTTGCCCCAACGCCCGCACCGACAGGTTCCCATCCAACCACTTCGGGACGCTGACGGGCCTGCAGTCACTCATCAGTGCTGTGTTTGCCCTGCTCCAGCAGCCGCTCTTTATGGTCATGGTGGGACCCTTGAAAGGAGAGCCCTTCTGGGTGAGAACTGTGGCGGGGGGCATGGGGGAGCAGAAGCCCTGTTCCAGGGTTCAGCCAAGGAGTTGGGCCCCGGGTCTTGTATGTGATAGAATCCCTCACTCCTCATCTCACTTTGGAGGTGAGGCCTCTAATTTGGGGGTTCCCAAGCTAGCTTCCCATCAGGACCTCTGTCAATGTGTTGAAACTACAGATTCCCAGCGTGCTGACTCAGCACCTCTTGGCCTGGGCTCAGGACTCCATTTTTAACAAGCTCCCAGGTGACTTGGGAGGTGGCTCAGTCCTGATTCAATCCAGTGTCACCCAGTGTGGGGGTGCCCTCTCTAGCACCTCCTCCACACCCTGTTAGCTCCAACAGCCTCAGTGCTGGGGCTGCCCTTGCATGAGGCAGCAGCCACTGGTATTGTTCCAAGGGCTTTTTCTTACCTTGAACTGACAGTTGCCTCCCTGAAGCTGGTCTTCTCTGGAACAAACACAGCTGCCTTCTCCCTGGTTGGGGCTCAGGAGGGTGATGAGGGCGAGCAGGTACCTACTTGGCCCCGTCTCTCTCTCCTTGCCCTAAAGGTGAATCTGGGCCTCCTGCTGTTCTCGCTCCTGGGATTCCTGCTACCTTCCTACCTCCTCTACTACCGTGCCCAGCTCCGGAAGGAGTACTCTGTCCCCTGGGAAGGCCCGCTGAAGGTGCCCAGCAGCCCTGAGGTGACTGCGTAGACCTCAAGGCCAAGTGAGCTGGATAACCGGCAGCCAAGGCCCGAGCCCCCAAAGGGAATGCCTCGTTTTTCTTTTCTACCTGTAACATACGCACAGAGCCAGGGGCCATGGATTTATAAATACCAGAGAAGTTCTATTTTTGCAGGGACTTTCTAAAATGAGAAAAAATCCCTAAAAAAAACAATCCCCCCCACCCAAGCAATGCTCCATTGACCGAAGATAGCCACTGTGCTAGAAGGACTGGGTCTTCTTCTCTCTCCCATTGGAGGAGACCAGGGTGTGGGCTGTCCTTTCTCTGGGCCTTCTTCCTAGGGGCGTGTCTCCTGGTGCCTTCCCAGGGCATGAAGGATCAGCAAACAGCTATCCCTAAGGTCCCTCCCAGCTGTGCAGTGCCCAGGATGTGCATGCATGCATATGTGTGTGCATGTATGCGTGCGTATATGTGTATGTATGTGTGTATAACAACCTTCCCCTCTGAGGAAAGTGGCCTGAGGTACTGGCTATGTCCTAGATGGGATGTGGGGGGTAAGCCCCTTCCAGGGGCTGGAGGGCGGGTTCCCTCCCTGGTGCTGTTTCTTGCAGGTCTCAGAGGAAATAAAAAGGGAAGTGAGAGACTACCTGGTGTGTGCCTGAGTTTGGGGGGGGGTGTCTTCCCACACCGCAATCCTTCCACACCCAGCCTTGACTGGGCATTAAGTAGGACACCTGAAGTGCCAGCCTGTCCATCTCTGGCTGTCTGGCAAACCTCCCTGTTCTCAACCATGCCCTGTCCTCAGTGTCTGCAGGGAGTCTTGATCCTGCCCTCTGCTCCTGCCCACCCAACTTCCTAGGGTTTGGGGTATACCTGGGACGCTGGCCTTTTGCCATATAGGGGTTAGGGCAGGATGCTTTGGAAAGAATGCTAAGGGATGACTCTCCTGCTTTGCTACCAAAGCATTCCAGGGCCAGTGTTGAAAGTAACATGTTTTTATAGTCTCCTGTTTTATCTTAAAACTTCATGTAAATGTTGAGCTTCAGTTTATACTGTATTTATATTTACTTTCAGCATTAAAGTGAGGCTTTAAAATTACCTCCATGAGGAAAGACACCATCCTTGAGGACAAGGGACCTTCCAGGATGATACACATTGTTTGTTGCAGTCTTAACACCTGTTTGTGCCCCTGACTCGTAACCCTTAGAGGCTAGAGTAGGTCCAGAATGGAGGGACGGGGCAGGGAGGACACCTCCACTTGCTGAGGATCTCATCTCCTCCGAACTCTAGCCCAGGAGGTTGGAATCTTCATGCTGTTTTGTAGATTGAGGAGAGCCCAGACGGGTTAAGGCACAAGGCCAAGGACACACAGCTGAACTTGGATCCAGGCTAGTCTGATGGCTGGGTCCTGATCACAGGCCCACCAGGCCAAGCAGGGACAGAAAGCAGGCCCCAGGCTCCTCGGCTGCTGTCTCAGGATTGAGAGTGACCTCAAAGGCCTTATCCACACCCCGTTCCCGCCCCCACACCGCCAACATCACAGAAAAGCTGTCCCTTTGTCTTAAACTCTCTTTATAAGTTAATGAAACAGACCTGCCCACGCATTTTACAGATGAGAAAACATGTGCAGAGGGGTCTGGAGACTTGGTAAAGTCACACAGCAGATCCCTTCTGAGCCTCTCCTTTTGGCTTCCAACACAAGTGCCCTTTTTGCAAAATATTAAATGGGCATTGGGCAACCCATCGGGCTGGGCGGGTTCCCAGAGGGTCTGCCCGGGTCTCACTGCGCTCTCTGTCCCGGACCTTGACTTTTTCCGAATAGTCTGATGGAGGTTGGTGGAGAGCGATGAATGCCATGTGAGATCTCACTAGACTGGGGTGCGGGCGCGCGGAGGACGCGGGCGGGTGCGCCCGGTACTCGGTGTGCCCAGCAGGGAGCGCTGCGTGGCTGTGGCTGGGCTGGGTGGGAGAATGGGTGGGGACGGCGAGCCGGGAAGGGAACCCCCACGCCCCTCCACACTCTCCCCTGCCCACCAGGCGGCCCGTCCTCCGTCTCCATCTCCAGACCCCTACCCTGGCTCGCTCTCCTGCCTTCCCCGATCCCCACCCTTTCAAGCACTATCTTGAAAGCCCCACCGACCCTCCGGACGGAAGGAGGGGGTCTCCACGCTTGCCCCTGCCCGGCGGGGGCTGGGGACTGGGTGATAGAGGCTGGCGGAAATCTTGCCCTCCTGGGGTAGGGGTGCCTCCTCACTCGCCCCTCCCGGGGTGGGAAACTTGGGGAGGGGGCTGGGCAGGGGCGGAAGCGAGCTGGAGCCGTTTGTCGCGGCGCTGCGGAGTGGAACAGATGGCTGGGGAGGGGAGAGGGGACGTGGCGGGGAGGAGGAGGGGGTGCGGGGGCCGGAGGATGAGGAACGGGGAATCTCGACGCCCCGAGTCTCCCAGGAGAAGCCCCCCTCCCTGTCTCTTCCCAGAAAGAGGGGCGGGCAAGCGCCTGCCTTATTCCCGGAGGGCCTTGGCCTCTGGCCTGTGGCGGACCCCTTTCGCGGTGGTGCGCCCTGGGGCGCCCCCCCTACCCCTAGCGCCCCCGGCGCGGGCCAGGCCGGCGGGGTCAGGGCCGCGGGGAGCGGGCCGGGTCGCCAGGGTTAATGGGGCCGCTCTCCAAGGGGCGAGGGGGCGGCGGGAAGCGGGCTCCCGAGCCGGGAGCGAGTTCAGGGATCGTAAATAGCTGAAGGAAAACGTGTTAATTGGAACTTTATGCAGATGAGCTGGGACTGGGGAGGGAGGAAGGGAGAAGGTCAGACGGGTGCTGGACCCCAGCCGAGCTCCGAGGGGAGGGGCGGAGGGCCCTGGCGGGGGGAGAGGGAAGGGTGTTTATCCGTAGGTCTGGGTTTTGAGAATCTGGGGAGGACCGCGCGTCCCTGGGCATGAGGTTTATTCCCTGACCATTTGCCCCAGAAATGGAAAAGACTTCTAGGGTCTCCACATCCCGAGTCCAGAAGCTCCGGGTCTCAGCTCGCCACGAGGGTGAGGGCACCCTGCAGGTGTCTGTTTCGACTTGTGGCTGCCTCCCTTGGGCCTCGCCGTCTCTGTGTCCCCAGTCCCCCGTCTGCTCGGTGTCCTCTTGCTTGCCTCCTCCGTCCTTTATCCCCATCCCTGACTGGAGCCTCTCCACACAGGAGTATTGTCTGTACCTTTCACCAAGTGGGCACGGCGGGCAGGATCCAACTTTTCTCCCGTTGTTCTCTCCCCTCTGCCCCCAGGGGCCACCCCGCCTTTGAGAAGGTCTGCCCTTCGGAGTGCCTTGTAAAACCCCTTTGATGCAGACTCCAGGCCCCCTTAGAGATCTGATTCAGCAGGTCTAAGGGCTCAGGAAGCTGCATTTTAGCAGCTTCCCACCTAAATTGGATGTAAAAGACCTTCGCTTTTAGGAGCACTGCAGGAGTTCGTGGGCTGGAAAGACTGGACAAGCCCCTCCTCTCCCCCAACCCGTTCTCCATGCTCCTGAACTCACCTCCACTCAGTATGGCCATCTGGGCTTCTGGTGTGATAGGACCACGCAGGAAGAAGATGCCAGAAAGGAGGGAGGGAAGGAAAGAGAAAGGGGTGCGGGGGTGGGAAATGGGTCTGCACCTTCTTCTCCCTTACATTCTGCCACCCCAGCCAAAGTTTCTAGGAAGGTCAAAAGATCTTGGGGTGAGGAATTTGGATCTTAGGAGGGAAATAGCAGAGCCAACCAAAGTCCCGTCTCCTAAGGAAAGGGCCAGAGGCACCTCTGGGGTTGGAAGAAGACAGGAGGGAGGCAAGACTTGAGAAAAGATAATAATAGCAAACATGTAGGTCCCCTTTCTATGGGGCTATTGCACTTACTCCCCACAGCATCCCAATTTGGGCAGGCGCTATTGTCCCTAGGTTACAAGTGAAAAAGAAAAAAGAAAAAACAGATGTTCAGAGAGGTTAAGTAACTTTCCCAAGGCCACACAGTAAGAGAAAGAATAATTAGATCATGCTCCCTTCTCCTTCCCCCAGATCATTTCTCCAGAGGCCACTGGGTAGCTGTCCCAGGCCTGCCCTCCCTGCCCCACCCTCGGGGGCAGTGGGGATGGGGAAGGGCAGTGCATCCAGAGATGAAAGGAGAGCTCGAGTTTCGGAACATCTGACAGGTCTGGCTGGAAGCATTAAGAATTTATGTGGAAACCTGACCCCAGCCGGACCTTGCGCCTGCCACCTGGGCTCTCCTGGCCTTGTGGCCTCTCAGGGCTGGTGGGCAGATGTCCCTTCAGCAGTGTCCTGGGAGCCCCAAGTCTGTGTTTCATAGGAGAGGGGTCCTCTCGTGGATTAGGGATCTAAAATCAGGAACCAGCAGCTCAGAACACAGGACTGAGAGCTCTCCCCCTACTCTGAGTGTAAGAACCTTAGAGGCTTAAGGGCTTATGCCCCTTGTCATCTGGTGTCCTTCTATTCCTATCCCAGGTCAGAGATGCTCATACTTGATTTAGAACGACTCAAGTTTGGCTGTGATTCCCGAAGTGGCCAGTGGGGGGGCAGCCATCTGCTTGGCGGGAGCCTGAGCCTGAGGCTCTAGGGCAGCTTTGAAGGGCAGTGAAAGAACCCCCATTGACAAGGTCAGAGAGATGCATCTGGGGGAGTGGGGAAGGGCTCTGGAATCTGACATCAGTGAGGAGAGGTTTCCTAGTTTCGGGGTGACTGAGGAGCTTTAGAGAGAACTGAAAGGAGGTTTGTGGGTTTCAAGTTGGGGGGTAATGATGGCCATCATAATACAATCATTCTAGGCTGGGGTAAAAATTTGGGATGAGGCCATGGGAGAAAAGGCTAGACAGGCAGTTGGGACCAGATTCAGAATGATCTTTGATGCTGTGTTAATGTGTTTTATCTTTAACCTGCAGGCGATAGGAGTCACTGTGGGTTCCTGAGTAACATAATGACATAATGCAAAATTGGTCAGATGAATTGGCCACCACAGGCCGACTGGGCGGGAGGGAAGGAGAGAGATTGAATGTAGGAAAACTAGAGAGGAGGTTCTTGCTATTTTCTCCTATTTTCTAGGCATTAGGTAATGAGATGGAGCAGGGAGGTGGTGGGGGTGGGGGGGATTTGGACAGGAAGGAATGAATTAGGGCTGGGAGGGGACTGGGTCGTGTGTAGATAGAGGAGAATGGAGAGGGGGAGGAGTTAGCTACAACTAGGCTGGGTGTCTGGCAGAGAAGAGAAGGCGGAATGTGGGTCCGCTCACAGAATATGGGAGGTGAATGAGTTTTGTTTCCTTCAGGGCTGGGGAGTCTTGGAAAAGTCCCTTCCCTTCCCTGGATAGGGGTTGGACTGGATGGCCTTGAAAGTCCCTCTTATTTCAGGGGGTGCTGTAAATCTGAGTTGTTTGGAGACGCTGAGGGTTTGTATGTGAGAACTCTCTGGAGGTGATCTCTATGTGGGGTCCCTTTGGAGCGGCTGTGCATGCATGTCAGCATTTGGGGTGCATCTGTCTGTTTGTGGGCTCGTGGGTGTTGGTGTGCTTGCACGTGCTCTGTAGCTCCGCTTTGTGTGAGTGTGTGTGAGAAAGCGCGTGAGCGTGGGTGTGCACGTGATGGGCGTCTGTGGGTCTGTCTGGGCTGGTGGTGGTGGAGGAGG